AGATGGCTTTAATGTAAAAACAAAGCAAAGAATAGAAAATTGCAAGTGTTGATGAAGATGTGGAGAAATAGGAACTTGTACTTTACTGATGGCAAAGCTACTACGGAAAACGGTTTAGCAGTTCCTACAAAAGTTCTATATAAAATTGTCATATGACCCAGCAATTCCATTTCTAGACATATGCTCCAAATAATTGAAAACAGGTATTCAAACAAATATTTGTACATGAACGTATAGCAACACTGTTCACAATAGCCAAGAATGGAAACAACCCAAATATCCATCAGTGGATGGATGGATGAACAAAGTGTGGTACAACTATAGAGCAGAATATTTTTCTGTCAAACAGGAATAAGGTACTGATACATGCTGCAGTGTTGATGAGCTTTAAAGCATTATGCTAAGTGAATAAAGGCAGACATAGGAAGTCACATATTGTTTGACTGCATTTATATGAAATATTCAGAAGAGATAAATTTATAAAGGTATGAGCATATTAGTGATTGAGGTTACAGGAAGAAGAATGGGAATGACTGCTTAATGAGTATAGGGTTCATTTTGGGGTACTGAAAGTATTTTGGAACTAGGCAGAGGCAATGGTTGCACAACATTGTGAATGTACTAAATGCCACTGAATTGCACATTTAAAAATGGTTAATATTATGTGAATTTTACCTCAGTTTAAAAAATTACATCATATACTTTCTGTGATCTCACAAATAACTTTGGCTTTGCTGTCATAGTTACCTTGTGACTGTTGGAACCCGTGTGCTTTGCAACATTGGTATGCTGGGAAGTTCTTTTCAGCTGTGGGCAGAAAAGCGTGAAGATGGATGATCCTAAGTGGGTTTCTCCCCAAAATAACAATTAAGGAAGTGTAGTTTTGCTTTTTCATTTGTATTTGTTGAAGCTGGTAAAACTTCTACCTTGAATGGGCCCTGGGTTGGTTAAAATGAAATCTGGCTTGACATCAGTTGTTTTCTTTAGTTTGAAAAAACATTAAAATAACTTCATATTATTTGGAGGTAGAATAATCTTGGGTGTTATGAAAACTTAAAATAATTTTTCAAGAATATAAGTAAGAAATACTTTTAGAGTTGCAATTATATATTTCTGATGGGTTTGTACACTGTACTGCTAGAGACTTTTGTGATAAAAATAATTACTTATACCTTTTATTATCAATGGGATTGGTATCAGGAATAAGAAAATTGTATTTGAAGATGGGCTTGGTGGCTCAGCCTGTAATCCCATGCTTTGGAAGGCTGAGGTGAGTGGATTGCCCGAGCCCACGGGTTCGAGACCTGCCTAGGCAACTTGGCGAGACCTCATCTCTACAATAAAATCAAAAAAATTAGCCAGGCGTGGTGGTGTGTGCCTGTATTTCCAGCTACTTGGAAGGCTGAGGCAGAAGGATCCCTGGAGCCCAGTAGGTTGAGGCTGCAGTGGCCGGGAGTGGCCACTGCACACCAGTCTGGGTGACAGAGTGAGACTCCAACTCAAAAAAAAGAAAATTGTATTTGAAATCATTCAAACAGAGCTTGTGCAAAAACTAAAACATTTTCTTTTTTTTTTTTTATTCCATTGTTTTTTATTTATGGTTAACTGTATTGTTTTTACAATATAAAACAGTTATATACATACTAAAATTTTTTTCTTTTAAAGATGTGGGGTACAATTCAGGGTTAGGTATACAAATGTTCATTATGCAGGCACCGTTGTTGATGAGGTGTGGCTCCCCCCTTCCCAGGCAGAGTCCCACTACTGCCAATCCCACTTCCCTGCTCCCCTCCTGGTAGTTTCCTGCTACTGCCAATCCTTCTCTTGTAGTATTACGATAATTGTTCAAGGTCCCCTTATGAGTGAGAACATGTAGTGTTCAGTTCTTTGTTTCTGTGACATATCACTCAGTATTATAGACTCTAAGTCCATTCAGCTTGCTGTGAACTTCATAATTTTGTTCTTCTTTATGGCTGTGTAATATTCTATCATGTATATGTACCACATTTTAAAAATCCAGTTCTCTTTTGATGGGCAGCATGGTTGGTTCCATATTCTTGCTACTGTGAACAATGCTGCAATAAACATCTGCGTGCAGGTGTCTTTTTTATAGAGTGATTTGAATTCTTCCGTATATATTCCCAGCAGGGGGATTGCAGGGTCAGATGGAAGGTCGATTCTTAGATCTTTTAGGAATCGCTACACTGTTTTCTACAGAGGCTGTACTAGTTTACACTCCTACCATCAGTGTAGAAGTGTTCCCTTTTCCTCGCATCCTCTCTAGCATCTGTTGTTTTTTGTGTTATTGATGATAGCCATCCTGACTGGAGTTAGGTGGCATCTCAGTATAGTTTTAATTTGCATTTCTTTGATGACTAGTGACGCTAAGCATTTTTTCATGTATCTGTTGGCTGCTCGTATGTCTTGAGAAGTGTCTGTTCATATCTTTTTTCCACTTTGTAATGAGGCTGTTTTTTTCTTTTAGGCATGTTTGAGTTCCTTGTAGATCCTAGATGTTAGGCCTTTGTCAGTCATACAGTTGGCAAATATTTTTTCCCAGTCTGTGGGCTGGCTCCCCACTCCCTCAATGGTTTCTTTGACTTTGCAGAAGCTTGTCAGTTTGACGAGGTCCCACTTGTTTTATCTCTTATGACCTGGGCGCTTGGGGTTTTGATCAGGAATTGGTTTACAGTTCCATTTTTCATAATGGTATCTCCTGCATTTTCCATGGTTCTTATAGTTTGAAGTTTTACTTTTAGGTCTTTGGTTCATTTAGAGTTTGTTTTTGTGTATGGTGATCAGTAGGGATCTTGTTTTAATCTTCTGCATGTGGTCAGTCAGTTTTCCCAGCACCGTTTACTGAGTAGGCTCTCCTCTCCCCAGTCATTGGTTGGTGGAGGCTTTGTCGAAGATGAGTTGGTTGAGAAATTAAGGTTTTGCTTCTGGAATCTCTATCCTATTCCATTGGTCTGTATGCCTGTTCTTGTACCAATACCAGCTGTTTTGATTATTGTAGCTTCGTAATAGAGTTTAAAGTCTGGGAGTGTGATACTTCCTGCTTTGCTTTTTTTTCTTGAGGATTGTTTTGGTGATTCATAGTTGTTTATGTTTTCATATGAATTTCTGTCTTTTTAAATTTCATATCTGTTTTGTTTTTTGGAGAAGGAGTTTCAGGTTATCTTTTGGCAAAAGATCTGAGATTGAGAACTTCTTAGTGAGGTGGAAGCAATTTGCCAATGATCATGAAGCTTTTCTGTATGAATGAGGCTTATGCTTCTAGCCCGTAGTCAGTGTTGTGTTTTATGGGGACTTGTTTCTCCAACAGGTGTATTTGTGCTGGTTGTTTTGCACACTGCCACCTGGTTCCTCTTATGACCCAAAATATCTAAAATATGTGGATGTGAAGCAAAGTTAACCCACAGCTGTACTGAACCCACAGCTTTTAGCATATTAGCATCATGTCCCAGTCAAATGAAAAAATGCCTTGCTTGAGCAAGAGTTTTGCAGTTTTAAAGTCAGAAGGGATCTGGTAAGCACAGAAAATATCTGGAATAAGTGCAATAAGCTGAAGTAGTGGATGAATATAAATATTCAGTTTAAAATCATTATTGCTTATGACTTCCACAAAATTAGGAGGATTTCTCTTGTGTGGTGTTCATAGTATAATTTTTTTGAAAATAAGAAAAGGTCAATTTTTAAGTTGTAGAGAATTAGAAGTTAAGTTTTTTTGGAAATTATTAATTAGGAAACATTTTCAACAAGAGCTAATTTAACTACACATTGAGCTACTTTAGTTAGGCATACCAGGACAGCAATAGAAGAAAGTGAAATAAATAGATGAGACTGTAGCTTACTGCACAATTATATTTGCCCAGAGACCCTGCCACTGCCTATAAAAGCAACATAGCACATAGTACATTTCCTTGGGTAATTGACCTAACATGTTTCCTCATCTGGGCAGTTAGAATATAGAATCAACCTCATAGGGTAATAAGGATTGAGTTAGTTAATATAGCGACAACTTTTAGAACAGTACCTGACAGTTATTTTATAGGACCGAATTGCAATTGCAGAAGCAATCAGTGATCCTTTAAAGATGTTAGCAGGGCTGCATAAGATGCTAGTGTTAAGATAACTAGGAGCTACTTTAGTGAGGAATTATTTTTTGAGGGGCAAACCTGTTTACATTCATAGATGTTCCATTGTGATCCTCTCGAGTATATAGATGCCTGGACATCTATTGGAAGTTTTGAGGCTTTCTGGTATACTCACTTTGGAACCATTTTACTAGTGGGCATCTCAACCAAAGATAATTCTTCAGGAAATAATTAATTATCAGTAGATTTTCAACTATTTCCCAAGTAATTTTAGGATGCCATGAAGCATCTTTGGTGATTAGTTGAAGACATAGTTACTATCTCGTTCATTTACCAGGCGCTACTGTGCGCCTATGCTGAATGGGGTTAATGGTCAGAGACAAAGATGAAAAGAACACAGTTTCTTGGCCTGAAATTCATAGTTTGAACCATTTTTTAATCTCTAGAATCCATACCAGGCAAACCCCATGGTTTTGAGTGGAAGATCATCAAAAACTAGTGTATTCTTAAGGATATACATCCTTGAAATTGTAAGACCATATTTCAGTTAATATTATTTCTTCCAAGCTATCTGAAACTATCTGAGGGAGGGATGGAAACTCATTGGTGGAAAGAGTATTAAAATTACAGATGTTTATGGACCATCTTGTTCTGATCTGTTATGAGAGACAACTGAGCTTGCTTTACTTCTATTTATATGTTCCAGTTTCTACTAGCATTTTTAATAATTTCAGATTGCTAGCTTGCATTTTGATAAACTCATTTTACTCCTCTCACTCCCATGATTTTTCTATTTCTATGCAGTTCTGGTGAAAATGAATTAGGAAAGGAGACTGGAGAACTTAGCTTTCTAAAATATGTTTTCTCGTCTCATAAAGTGATAATGTGCTGCTTCTTTTATAGGACTGAATTGCAACTGCAAAAGGAACAAGTGACCCTTTAAAGATGCTTGTGGGGATGCATAAAGTAAAGAAGGAAACTGGAAAAAAACAATGAAGTAAGGAAAAAGTATGTTTCCCAGGTAAATAGCATGCTTCTGAATTTTAACAAGTTTCTTCCTACATCAATTACCATAACTTTGTAATGTCTATGTCTTTTTTTTCTGAGTTGGAGTCTCACTCTGTCGCCTAGGCTAGAGTACAGCGGCACACTCCTGGCCACTGCAGCCTCGACCTGCTAGGCTCAGGCAATCCTTTTGCCTTGACCTCCCAAAGTGCTGGGATTATAGGCTTGAGCCACTGTGTCCAGCCAATGTCTATGTCTTTATAGTCACATTTAGTCTTTGTCTTGCTGTTAAACATTATTTTCTCCTCTCCTGTTTTATTGCTTAACTCTTTGATCAAATGATTTTTCTTTGGATTAGTCTAAAAATCTTTATAGAATCTACAACTTAGGTGATTTCTTTAGCTCATTTGATATGAATCTGTTATAACTTAGGTTGTCTTGAATATTATAAAAGTAGTGTCCTGTGTTATGTGTGATGTGCAGTCTGAGTCAAAATGTCAGCTTTTAGTCTGAGTGCAGAACTTACACTTGTGGTTCATTAAATGACTGACTTGAAAAACTAGGCTGGGCTCGATGGCTCAGCCTATAATCCCAGCACTTTGGGAGGCTGAGGCAAGTGGATTGCCTGAGCCTGAGGGTTTGAGACCCGCCTGGGCAACTTGGCGAGACCTCGTCTCTACAATAAATCAAAAATTAGCCAGACATAGTAGCGTGTGCCTGTACTTCTGGCTACTTGGAAGGCTGAGGCAGAAGGATCACCAGAGCCCAGCAGGTCGAGGCTGCGGTGGCTGGGAGCATGCCACTGCACTCCAGCCTAGGCGACAGAGTGAGACTCCAACTCAAAAAGAAAAACTAGAAAACTATTTTGAATACCAATTATCCAAGCCATAGTCTCAGGCTACAATATGTGTGGCATTGCACATATCTCTGGGATCTCTGGAATAAGAAACGTGTTTTTTTTTTTTTTTTTGAGTTGGAGTCTTACTCCATTGCCCAGGTTGGAATATAGTGGCACACTCACAACCACCCCAGTGTCAATCTGCTGGGCTCCGGCAATCCTTCTGCCTCAGCCTTCCAAGTAGCTGGAACTACAGGTGCATGCTACCCCACCCAGCTAATTTTTTTTTAATTGTAGAGATGAGGTCTGACCAATTTGCCTGGGCTGGTCTCGAACCCGTGGGCTTAGGCAGTCCATTTGCCTTCGCCTTCCAAAGTGCTGGGATTATAGGCTAAGCCACTGAGCCCGGCAAGGAAATCTTTTTTTAAACACAAAACTTAAGACAGAAGACAAAATAGACTAGCAAATAATCAATGTAAATAGACAAAGCCTTCACCTAATGAAATTGATGTGCCCTAGTAAGCTTTTTAAGCAAAGGAAATCTTTTATTTTATTTTCCATTATAAAGTTAAGAATCTTTGGAAAGAGAGAAAGAAATACAGACAGTCATGGATGATATATGATGCCGGGTGTTCTGTACCACAAGATCCTTAGACAAATCCATGATAACATCGCTCCTCTACAAGCCTGGGTACCACTAGCCCATGGGAGTTTTCCCACAAGTGTAGCTTCTGTAACTTTCTGCCTTATGCTGGGAGTCTCCCCTTCAGTAATGGTTTGCTACAGGGTTACTCTTGGATATATGATGTATTCCAACTTGATCATTCTTTGAGTCTTAAAGTTGAGTAAAACTGTTTAATGGCTTTACATATCAGTCTTCTAAACTAAAAAAATGTCATAAGACAAGTTTCTTGTACACACATTTTCTAGTACTTATTCTTACACTGACTGCTTTATCATACTGGTCTGGCTGTGATTTAGTCAACCCAGAAATGCTCTTGCATCTGGGTCATTATACTTGTTCCCTCTGCTTAGAGTCCTCCCAGATAGCCACATGGCTCCTGCCCTCCTCCTTCATTTTCTGCTCCAAAGTTACCTTATCAAAGATGCCTTCCATGCACCCTCAATTGAAAACGATAACTTACGGTATCCTGAAATCATTCTATCCATTGGTGATAACTATTTTTTCCATAGCAGTTATCACCATCTGACTGCTATACATACACTTGTTTGATTGGCTGCTTCCCTGCCCTTTCTCCCCACCCTTTCTTCCTACCCACACACCCCTACCTGAACTCTCTGAGGGCAATAGCTTTAAACCCTGGATCTAAACCACTGCTAGACAGTTGATGCTCAGAATTTGTTGAATGGGTCAATGAAGCATGGTTGTGATAGGAGGACGAAGTAGATTTGGAGTTCATGAGATTGGATTAAAAATTATTAACAGGGAAAATATTGTAGAGAAAGTATCTTAAAAATATTAAAAGTCTGATAAACAGACCAGGTGTGGTGGCTCGCGCAACTCGGGCAATATACCAAGACCCTGCTTAACCAAAAAAAAAAAGAAAAGAAAAAAAAATTAGCCAGGTATGGCAGCATGTGCCTATGATTTTAGCTTCTCAGGAGGCTAAAGTGGGAGGATTGCTTGAGCCCAGGAGTTTGAGGCAGTAGTGAGCTATGAGCATGCTACTGTACTTCCAGGCTGGGTGATGAAGCAAGACCTTGTCAAGAAAGAGAGAGAGAAAGAGGGAGGGAGGGAGGAAGGGAGAGAGGGAGGGAAAAAGAAAGAGAGAGAGAGAGAAAGAAAGAAAAAAGAAAGAAAGAAAGAAAAGAAGGAGGGAGGGAAGAAGAGGAAGGAAGGAAGGACTTTGATAAACAGTAGGACTTAAAACCATTATCAAAAATAACTCTTTGATCTAGAAGATAGTTTAGAGCCACTTCAGAAATATAAGTGGCAGATCTAATTATTTATAATAAAAACCAGACATAAATTATTGCTTAAACATAAATGCACAGGAAAGCATTGGATAGAAAAAGATTGGGAGATAAGCAGAAAGAGAGTGGTTCAGAGGAGAGATGACTTGAGAGAGGGATTCCATGGTCAGGAAAGAAGGTAACAAGCAGGACCTAGCAATGCCTGTTGGGTTAGGGAACTGGTAGTGTTATGGTTTGAGTAATGCTCGGCTGCTCTCCCTTGACACCAATACATCAAGGAGCAGGGAATTGGCAAAAAGAGGTTTATTTCTGACTTCGAATCCAGGAAGCAGAGCCAGTCTTCTGTTTTTTAAAAAATGGTTCTGCACACCCTTCAGGTTTTACAATCCACTTTTATAAGTTCAGGGTTATTGGTACCTATACATTGACCACGTGACTAGCAGAGCATTGTATAGAATTTAAGTTACAGCCACATTTTGTAAACAATGACAACTATATCTCCTCTGGTTTCTTCCATTTTGAGTACCAGGAATAATATCAACTTCTCTATATTGATGATGACTGATCACTTTAAGTTTATCATAGCCATGTAAAGGGATTACTTTGGGCTGTATAAATATATATGTATATATTTGCAGTCCACATTTCCACATTACACCAGGCAAAGGTGTTAATTAAATATGCCATAGAGTAAAGGGAGTTAACAGGGCCTAAGACATCATACATTACTACATGTTGTTTTATACACAGAAGTTATACAAATCACAAGACAGACAATTAAGTTAAAACAAAAGTTATACAAATCACAAGACTTATGACTACCTTGATACTATACTCAAACCTATGATTACTAGGAAAAGGGAGTAAATGGGGATTTATATCTCTCAGTTAATTGGGCAAAGTCTGCAGGAAAGTTAAGGATTCTTTGAAGTTACTTACTGGGAGTACATAGAAGATAAGAGGAAGCACATCTTTTGTTAACTCTCAGGAATGTGGGTACGTGCAGGAGCACTCAAACATTTGCCATGCCCTCTTCTAGGGGTTGTGGCAATATGGGCCGAAAATAGAGGGTCTCTGTATCAGTAGGATGGGGATATTGAATGTGATGACTAGAGATGCAGTGAAACATTAATGGGAAGGGCAAAGTCAAGCTGGAATTGTCTTATATGTCAACATCTGTACCTATTGCCTGGTGACACTGAGCCATCTCGACTAGCTCCAGCTTACCTCATTCTCTCACTCTACTCCTACCTATGAAGAATGATGCTTATTCTCCACATCATGCTGTTTCTTTTTCACCTTAAGGATCTTTTAAAATTAAGCTCTTACTTTTAGAGGGGCGTACCATTTGACTCAGCACTTGCATTTCTAGGAATTTATCTCATATATGACCTCATACAAGTATACAGGTAATCCTATACCACCTCAGCCTCTATTAAATCCTCATGCATGCTTCCTGCTTCAGTAGCACTTGGACAGAGAATACTCATCTCTCACTGCTATCATTCTGTCATGACCATGGGTCATGTCCTCCTCCGCTGGCTCTGGTGTTAACTGCCTGCCTCTTTGTCTACACTGCTGTGGACTGGAGACATTTATATAGGAGCTAACTATATCTCCTCTGGTTTCTTCTTTCTTCTTTTGAACTTGTATTACTTACAGCAGTCTTTCTCTTCCCATTTGCAAGTACCATAAATGGTTAAACTTTTACATTGCATTATGTAGATATTTACATAATAATATATATAGTAGTGGGTATCTCTACTTGGCTCCATATTAAGATTACCTTAGAAGTTTTATAAAACATGAATGCTTTGTATTAGATTATGAGACAATTTGTTTGGGGCACGGCATGGACATCAACATTTTAAAAAGCTGTCTGATGATTTTCATGTGCATTCAATTTTGAGAACCAGGGATACTATCAATTTCTCTATATTGATGATGACTGATCACTTTAAGTTTATCATAACCATTTAAAGTGATTACTTTGGGCTTTCTAAGTATAAAGTGATTACTTTGGGCTTTATAAATATGCCATAATGTGTTTTGAAGGTACACCTTTATTATTAGTTTTAGAATTTTTAAGTTAAGAATAGATGTTAGATTATAACATGAATTTTTGGTTTCTGTTGACATGGCACAATTAGAATTTTAATCTATTCCTAGATTCTATTTACTATTATTTTCTTTTAAATTATTGAGCATGAATTCTTAGC